AATTCTTTCCCAAACAACACAGTTTTATTGAATGATGAAAACACTTAAAAAAAATACCCACAAAAAACCCCATGTTGTGCAAGTTAAAAGCAAATACGTTAAAACCTTAATAAATGTATGAAAAATAGCTTAAAGAAGAGGAAGGAACATTCTTGTTCATTTTAGCTACTCATTCATCAACTGTGGCGCTCTCAGGTCAGTGTATGTGAAGCTGTGCTTGTCCTTACTGTCCCCTCGAGTGGGGGGGGAGGGGAGAGGGCTTGCAGACCCTGATGCCGTGTGGAACATTTGAGGGAGTGATGTAGGGAGGCTAGACTAGAGTTCTCCATGGACTGCAAAGGGAAGCAAGCCTGGGATTGTTGGACCTCTAGGTCCTTGGGAGTCTGCAGCCTCTGTGTTCGCTGCCAGAGAAGCCCCATTATGTCCTGGTGCATCTCCCTTTCCTTTTCCTGCTGGGACCCGTGGGCTGCTCTCCTGTCCGCTCTGTCCCTCTCCATACGGTCTGCAGTATTCACCCACCAGGCCCTCTGCTCACTGTCCACTGCCGCACTGGCTTGTGGGCTCTTGCAGAACGTGTCATCCCGATTCCTCTCATCTGTATCTGGCTGAGGCATTCTGTAGGTGTGGATAGGGAACCCTTCAAGGCTGCAATGTTAGCAGCTGCAGATAAAACACGCAGAGGCACCATTGTCAGTATAGTCACAATGGAGAGTGACCGTTAAGGTTCAGAACTCCCTTCCCTTGTTCCCCTGAAGTTTTAAATAAGACATGCCCATTGTCACGTCTACTTCGGAGTGCTTGTGCCTGGCACCACTCAGCACCAGCAGTTACCTCTTCTAGTACCAGTAAATCAATGAAAAGCCAATAGCTGTGTCCTGTTAAATTGAGAGGCACCTCCAGTACATTTGAAATGGGAAATACATTCACGCGTTGGTGGCGACTCAGTGGGTGCTCCGGGGCTGGAGCACCAAGGGAAAAAATTAGCTGGTGCTTAGCACCCACTGGCAGCCAATCTCTCCCCTCCCCACAGCGCCTCTCACTTGATTGGCTGTTTGCATCCCTGGCCTTTGGATAGGCCTACTGCAGTTCCTTCACTTTCATGGGCTGCTGCTGCTGGTCCCTGCCAGAGCCCTTCTCCTGTAGCCCTCATGCAATCTGCTCGTAGCTGTTACTGTTTCTATGGCTGGTCCCTAGCACATCATCTTCTCCTCACAGGCCCAGGAGAGCCAACATCTACTGTCTACTCCAGGCCAGTGCATGTCTGGAGTGTGTAGCTGGCATGGTAAGGTGGATGACTGCATACAACAAAGGAGCACTGCTAGGCGTGCTTGCCATGCTGGACAATCAGGAAAAGGCATTTAAAAAATTCATGAGGTTTTAAAGCGTAAGGGGGGAGGGGGCTTCCAGTCTCCATGAGCCCTGGGCAGTGGAGTTCACAATTGTGACCAGAGTGGTCTGTGTCGGGCATTGTGGGAGAGCTGCTGGAGGCCTCTGAGAGTCAACAGAAGTAACACAATGTCTGCTCTTGCACTGCATCGACCTCAGAACATCGACCATGGCTCAGTCCCACTCGGGGAGATGGTGTTATTGGGTCACCGTAACGAGGCGCTTACATTGGTGGGAGACACATGTAAGTGTAGACACATGCACAAGTAAGTTGGTGCAAGGTAGCTTATGTTGACTTAACTTTCTAGTGTAGACTACTCTATCAAGTTAAGTGTAGAAACCAAGGGTGGCGGGTAGCATAGGCCGGGGAGGGCTGTGCCTCCTCAAACAGCCTGGAGTGGCCCCGCCCACACTCTGCTCCCCCAGGCCCCCTCCTGCCTGCTTCCCGTTCCCTTCCTGCTCTTCCATGGCAGAGAGCCTGGGGCAGGCTGAGACTGGTGCTCACAAGGCCTGGGGCTGGGGCTGCTGGGACTGGGGCCACACTGCCTGCCCGGCACTGGGGTTGAAGGTGCTGGGACTGTGCCTCACACTCAGCACTGGGGTTGGTGGGTGCTCCAGCCACACTGCCTGCCTGGCACGCTGGGGCTGGGGGCGCTCTGTTCGCGCTGCCTGCCTGGCACCCTGGGGCTGGGGGCGCCCTGGGCCTGGGGTTGGGTCATGTGGGGGGGGCAGTGCCCATGGGGTTTGTGCTTGTGCTCTGGGCTCTGGCGGGGAGGGGGAGGGGCCGAGGACTAGCCTCCCCCAACGGCTCATTCACCCTCTGCCCATGGTAGAAACATAAAAGTGCAGAGCTCTTAAAACAAAGACATGACAGACATTGCCACATGCACAATGCTACTCTTTAAGCCCTAATATTTTTCCTCCTTCCTCCTTTTACAAGGCGATAATCTGACTCCCAAGGGGACACATGCTTGTGTGCTGATCGCATTTTAGTTTTTTACTGCTAGTAAAGGTAACCTCAGTGGGGAGCGGGCAGGGGGCTTCCTGGTAAAGTGTCTTTAATCACCTCAACATTTCTCAGAAAATGTTTTAGGGCCAGCACAGAACTGCTTCACATGTTGGAACAGCATGAGCAGTACAGACATATGCTGTGGGCAGTCCTTAAAAGCTCTGGGGGGTATGTGTGTGTATCTGTCTGTAGTGTGGTGGAGAGACAAGGTGGGGAAGCAGTAAATCTTTTGGTTTGGTTTTTGCAAAGGCCAACCTTGAGTTCCTGGGCACCGAAAATACTCAGCCCAATATTTATACCAACTTTGTTGTTCTGTAACTATTGAGGGGGTGGCCATAACTAGTTTGCTGTTGCTTTGGAGTGCTGTCAGTACTGTGGTTTTGTATGGGATTTTTTTTAAAAAGAAATTCTGACTAATCTGATTAGTGGTTGCAACTCAGTAACCTGGCTGCCGAATTATGTGTGTTTCTATGGAAATAACTGGGTGGGGGCCTATGACATTTTGGATTCAAAGCTTAAAAGAAAACCTCGGAGCAGGTGGCAATTTGGTGTTTGGATTCATTGTCAGGTCAATGTTGAGCCACCCACCGAGGACATTATTGGAGTACGAACTGGAGCTACGTTGCATCTTTAGTTACTGCAGGTCACAATCTGGGAAGAAACTCTGCTTTGCAACTGACCAGGGCTTTGCGACAACTGGAAAAGATCCTTCCCCATAGAATTCATCCCAGGTTTTACTCGCTGAGGCAGGACTAGTCTATGGGAGTTCAGTGGGTGTCCATGCAGTGCAGACAGGAACAGTAAAGCTCCCTCATGATGGAGTCTGTTGGGGCCTGACAGTGGTTGTGCATTCAAGGGCCTGAATGGAATTTCACAGCAAGGGGAGCTCAGCGTGAACCAAGCCCACTAAGTGTCTTGCTCTAGGGAGCCCGCAGTGAGCTGGGACACTGCCCTGCACCGTGTGTCAACCCTATTCCCCCAAAGCAAAAGGAGCTCTGGGTCCTGTTTGCCCTGGACTCTCCCCTAAGGAGGGGGAAACTTTATTCTCTGCAGGTTGGCTCCTTGGGAGCAGCCATCTCCTCTCCCTGCTCTCAGCTGGGACTGCGTAATGAGTCCCAGACCCACTTAGAGCAGTGGTCCCCAAACTTTTGAGGGTCATGTCTCCCCTTATCTCTGTCCCCATTCCCCCAGGCTGGGACTGGGGCTGAGAGCAGGGCTGCAGCTCCGGGGGGAGGGGAGGACTCAGATAGGGGTAAGGGGGCCGAGGCTGGGACTGCAACTGGGGGTAGGTCTGGGGTCAGGAGCAGGGATGAAGCTGCGGTCAGGGGCCGAGGTTGGGGGCAGGAGCGGAGCCACAGCTGGGCCCCTGGCCAGGTGCAGAGCTGTGCCAAGGCTGGGGATGGGGCCAGGTGCAAGGTCGGGACCTGGGGCCATGGCTGGGGGCGGGGCTGGAGCTGGTAGCACTCCTCCCCCACCCCTCCCCTCCCCGTGGGGGCTGACCTGGGCCCGATGCACCCCCCAGAATGTTTCTTCACATTCTTCTTGGGGGGGCACACCCCACAGTTTGGGGACCTCTGATTTAGAGGCAGTTCCCCGGCTTGGAGCGGATGGGGAGGTGGCAATAGCAGCTCTGTGGGTGCTTCCCGGACCGGTGGGTTTGTGAGCAGCAGTGTGGTCGCCTGGCCGTGACAGAGCACGGAGATGAGCTGAGGTAGTGGGGACAATTTCTAGCCCTGTCCTTAAATGGCCGTTGACAGCAGATATTGGAGGGCAGGAGAGAAGGGAGAGGGAGGGACAGGAGAAAATTGGCATAGGGAGAACTCAGGAGAGAAAGCAAGGGACAGAGGGGGATAGATGGAGAGAGAGAGAGAGAGAGAGGAAAAAGAGGAGGACGGAGGCAAGGGATAGCTTGATTTCCCCCTCACATTGGTTTTCCCCTGGTGTAAGTCCATTGACTTCCTCCTCACTTACCCTGGTGAGAGCGAGCACTCTTCCATGGTTATTGCTATTCATTAGCTAAGTTGAGTGGCAGCTGTTTCATGCTTGACAAGTGGCTATAAGATGTAGTAGTCTTTCGACCCAAGAGACTATGGTCCACCAATTGCAGCACAGAATGCCTCAGTATCCCACCACTTGTAGAATAGAACATCCTACCATCACAGCATGGAATACACCAACATCCCACCAGTCACAGAAGGGAACATATTAACATTCTAATCGCCCCTTTTTTTCCAAAAGAGATATTGCCCCATTCTGTAAAATCACAGCAGACAAGGTACTGAAAAGAGACAGAAAACTACTGAGCATTTGGGACATTCCAGATGAATGAAAAAAATGCATTTGAATTAGCTTTCCCTCCTACTTTCTTCATTGCCAGAACTGCCTCCTTCTCCCCTCCCTTAAAATGTTACTTATTTTTTAAAATGGCAAAAACCAGAAGAGAATTAAACATCTGTGGCTTTTTAATTAAAAGGTAAAGTTAAAAAGATCCCAGATGATATATGGGTGAAGAGAAGCAGAGAAAGCCCTGTTTGAAGAATGGGGCGGGAGAAACGATAGTATCAAAAGCAACTTCACAGGCCACAGGGACGACAGGTGTATATTTAACTTTTATTTTATAATACAAAGAAAAGCTTTCTAGTCCAATTTATGAAGCACTGAAACCCCGCAGCACAGGATACAACATCACCCATCAGTTTCTGCATGGAACGCATCCATGTTCTAAGGGCCCCTTTTCCCAAAATAAATATTGCCTGATGCTTTAAAATGCCTTTTTGTATCAGTGTAGCTTTACCCATACAGCAAGACACATGGTAGGTGGGGCTTGCACAAATGCAACTCACTCCGTTTTACACTGGCACAGTGCATCTACGGGAGAGGTTTGCACCCGTGTAGCTAATGATGCAAATATACCTAATGTAGCCAAGTCCTTAGAGCAGAAAAGGCACTGAAAAGAGGCATGCAGAAAGCTAGGGAGCATCTGGGATGTCCCATTAGTGATAATGGCCGGGAAGGGATAAAATAACAGATTTGTTTTTCTTCATGTTCCCATAAATTAATTATACTTTCAGATTACAAATCAGTGTTTCAGTGTCTATTCATGTTGGAATTATCCTTCCATGAGCCAGTTCAGGCCAATCAAAGAACTGCTCAACTGCGTCACTCAAACGGCTCCTGAGAACGGGTCATAATTTCAGAGAGAGAGAAGCCCATCAGGAAATAGTATAAATAACTAAAATGTGTTTTGTAACAGGGATTATAACAGGGGTTGCAGTAGTGTTGTGAATGGTGAGGACAAAAAGGCATGGGATCTTTATTTCCTTGTAAACTGCAAACCCTTCTGATTAGCCAGGAAGGGTGAAACCCTGCTTGTCTTACTCATGTGTGTAGCCCCAAGGTGAAGGCAAAGCTGGTAGTCTTCCCACATGAGGATGCAAGCAGGATCTGTCCCTTAGTGGTGAACTGAGAAGAGAGACTGAAAAATGTTGGCTTTACCCTTTCCTGCACTTTACAATGCATAAAGATGACCTCAAATTTACAAGAAAAATCCTGCTTGCTATTTACACGAGGCATCCCAGATCCTCACATCCCTCTCTGTGCTGGAGGATCTTGGGCAGAACTCTGGAGAGCCTGAACCATAAGATCATCTCTGGTGGCTGTAGACAGAGCTGTGACTCCCCTTCACCTCAACCAATGGGAGAAGGGTTAAGACTTAGCACCCCCTTTCCAGGAAGCAGTAAGAAAGCAGGAGACAGCTCGCAGCACAGCCTAGAGTGACATCATCCTTCAAGTCCTCCAAAGATCTCACCAAGTCTTCTAGAACGGAAAGGGAAGTGAGCGCTTGATGTTCCAAATGTTAATACTGTACATAGAAAATCCCCCCCCAGGCCCCCCTCCCACACACGTATTTTAAACCTTTGGGACAGAAGCAAGAAAGGGCAGGTATATAGATATATGTAGATATAGATAGCGCTATAAAATTTTGCTTTGCAGTTCACTTAGACAGAGGCAGTTTCTGGAGTGTAAATCTTAGCTCTTGTTGGGCTAATTCACATTAATACAGTGACCCAATGAGTCCTGATTCTCATCTCACCTCCACCAGTTTTACATCGGTGTTAATTTCATTGACTTCAATAGTTACTTCTGACTTGCCCCAGTGTAAACAAGATCATAAGGCTCTGTATCTCTAGTAAGAGAGAAGAAACAGACCCTAACTAAGCTAAAAAGGCAAGACAATTTGAGGATTACTTCCTAAGGGTAAGAATGTCCTCAGATTGTCCTTCTCTTGCACTAAAACCTAATAAAGCAGGACAATTGAAATCTACAGGTGAGGGAAATCCATGAGCCCTAAAGATGTCACGTTGGTTTATGTGTGGATTTCTCATGGATGGCCCTGCATTCTGCTAGATCAAGTTTCTGACCCCTATTGTGAGTGACCCTTTGACTGCAAATGAATGCTGTGATGTACTTTAGACTAGAGTCTGCAGCCAAAAGAGGCTGCACCCTTAGTACTAAGGGATGTGTGAACATTTATGTGGAATAGAACTTTCAAACCCAGTCCCACGACTACTTAAAAGCCAGACAATTTGATCCTTTCACTGATGGTTACCACACCAAAATTATTCATCCAATGAGTTTGTCTAATGAAGCTGAACAGACCTGTCCCCGGCTGACAATTTGTTCACTGGAAAAGATGCCATGCAGGAATAAAGTTCAGAGGACTCTAGGGTTGTACAGTCATATGGAATGGGAGGGCTTTAGGGTGGAGTACTATGAATGTTTCTTTTGATCTCCACGTGTGGCAGGGTGAGCCTCTGTATGTAATTTCCAGTTGTGTATTTCATGTGATCTCAATGCCCAACAATAAATCAGCTAAGGATCCCTTAAAAGAAGAGATGGGCCTAAGCCAGAAAGTTCAGATCCAGATTCAGATGTGGATGCAAACTTCCCCAAAATTCAGGTAGGTCGTATATAGTGCTCTGGTTCCACCCATCATACAGATGTATCAGAGTGGTAGAGTTCAGATCTGAATTATCTCAAAGCTCTGGAGTCAGGAATCAGTGTTTCATTTCAGTCCTTTGGGTCTGAACCTCAGAGTTTGGATTCAGACCTTGATCTGAACTCCTCAGGAGCTTTCAGACCTGATGTTCTGACCCATCCGGATTTCTACGCTTTTACCAACCTTGCCTGAGTTTGGAGCCTGCAGTGACACACCAATCCAGGCAGGTTTCATGAGTTTGGGTGCAATTTTTTTGCACAGCTCTGCACAAAGGGAATATTCTTTCATTATACAGATAATTGAGATCTTAACTACCATCCTTAAAAAACAAAACAAAACACCCCACGGTGTTTATGATGTCATCAGTGAAGAAGTACCAGACACCCAGAGCAGAGTTTGTGGGATACTGTGGTCTCTGCTGTGCTGTTTAGCTGAGCAGATGTGAAGGATGTTTTGTTTAATGAGATTGGCAATATTTTTCAGTGACCTTCCTGATGTCTTACAATGAGATTAGGTCTTAAAATGTAAGAGGCCGATTATCATGGCAATAGAAATTAGTTCCCCATGCCCTTTGGTGGCATGAAGAAAGGCCCTCTACCATTTACCCACTACCCAGCAGTAACTCACAAAAACGTCAGGGGAAATTCCCTGCAGATTTCTGTTGTCCATACCGATGAGGCCTGATTTTCAGCAGTACTGAGCATCTGCAGCTGTCGCTGATTTCACTGAGAGCTGGGGGTGTGCAGAACCTCTGGAAACCAGGCCAAGGTGTTTTTTTGGCGTGGGGAGCAGGAGGGATGGGAAAGGAGGAGGAGATGGGTGTTCTGTGACCGCTGGAAACAGTCTTCATAAGGCCGAGGAGGAGGGACAGCCGTTTAGGAGGCACAGCAACCTGCCGCAAGTGAAAATGGCTCACTGTCCGGAAGACAAACTGTACAGAATCAAATCTAATCATCATCATCGTCGTCGTCGTCGTCGTCATCATCATCATTGTCGTCGTCGTCGTCGTCATCGTCGTCATCTTCCGTGTTTATCTTCCCAGAGAGCACATCCTCTATCCAGTCTTCCAGCTCCTCCGCTGTGGGCAGGTCATCATCATCCTTGATTTCCATCCAAACACTGTCTGCCTGAAGGAACAGATAACACAGCAAGAAATCAGAGCACCTCCCTGCTGGGGACTGGCTGGTGGTAGGATTACTTCACCTCTTCATGGAGGGGGTAGGATTAGCTCGTTTCTCTAACTGGGTGTGGTGGGATTAGCTCATGTGTCAGGTAGGAGCTGGCAGGATTAGCCCCCCTGCTTTCTAACAGGGGGGACTCCGTGCTGCTTTATTAAGGCCTAGGCTACACTTAAAATTTAGGTCAGCATAGCTACGTCACTCAAGGTTGTGACAAATCCACCCACCGTAGCTATACCAATCTGGCCCCTGGTGTAGATCCAGCGAGGGTGACAGAAGACCTAGCTACCGTCACTTGGGGTGGTGGTGATCCTACACTAACAGAAAGACCCCTTGTATCGCTGTAGGCTGGGTTATGCCGGGATAGTCCCGGTAGTGGAGACATGGCCAAAGATTGTAACAGATGTACTGCATGGAACTGATCATGTTCTTAAACTGACTGTTAGGAACTGGGCAGGTAATAGCATGTATTTTGATCACATTTTTCTCATTATTGGACGAGCTAGCTAATTATATTAGCCAATAGTCCATAGGGACGTAGCTCCACTGGTTTTAGCCCATTTCACAATGCAGTTTCATATTCCCCTCCTTGTCTCCAACTCTCTCTGTGGATTTATTCCGCTGGACTTTCCAGACCTTGTCATCTCTACTCATCTCCCTGATCCTTCCACTCTTCTCCTGCCGGCACCCTCTCTGGCCTATCACACAGTCTGGAGGGACACTCTTGGGGGTGACAGCAGCTCTTGCCATCTGGAAGAGCCTTTTCCCATAACACCTCTTTGCCTCACTGACTCCACAGTTCATTCCAAATCTGCAGAAAACACTGCCCATCCCCCTTGGCTGTATGTCTTAAACTCTTCTCTCTCTCTCTGCTCACACCATTTAAAGCTGCAAACCACTGTGGCTTTCTGTCGATATGAAAGACACTGTACAAACTAAAGTTATGGAGTAGTGAGAGGAGGCATGGTCTAGTGGGAGGGGACTCAGGTGACCTGGGCTCTGTTCCCTGTTTAGCCATAGATTCCTTGCATGACCATGGAGTTTCCCTAGCTGTAAAGCAGGGATAATGACACTGTTCATTCATGCTTTGAAAGGCACTGGAGCAGTGAAATCTCCAAAGCAAAGTCTTTCCTTGCCTGAGGGACCTAATTTGCTTGGGGTCCTGATGTAAGCTTTGATAAAATGTCTGGCCACATTTCTGCCTCCAGGGAGGGCTTAGATCCCCAAGTATTTCCTTTATCAAACAGGAAGCTATCAAAAGAGATACAGAGCTTGATCCTGATGCCCTGCGAGTAGTCCCATTGAATGAAATGGCACTGTTTGGGTGAATGAGGGCTACTCTTGTGAGTAAAGACAGCTGAATCAGACTCATTGCTTGTGTGGAAAATATAGCCGCAGTATATTGCAATCCACAGTGGCAAGGCTTCTACACCGCCACAGTGAGAATAGGCAGTGGGGACCTGGAACCCAATGGTACTTTTATTGGCGGATTTCTAGAGACATGAGGGGAACAGAGAGGCTACTCCCTCTGAAGTTAAGGAAAATGTGTCTGTGTATTCACTGGGCCTGATTCATCACTGTGTTACTCCATTTTGTATCACTCCATCTCAGTGGATTTACATCACTGTCACACTGGAGCATTGCAGTGCGGAATCAGGCCCACCATTTTTCTTTTCTTATACTGCACCAACATGCACCTTCCTCAGAACACCCTTCTAGATAAATGGAAACCACACTTAGGAGAATGAACTAAAACTCTCATAAACCCTACGATCAACAATCTAGCCCCGTTTACAAAGAAAACAGTAGCAAAGCCATGGTCAAATGATGGGATCCACCTCTTCTGAAAGATCTCGAGATAACCTCTGGATTTGCTCAAGGTCACAGAGGAAGTAGGCGGCAGAGCCAGGAATAGACCCCCCAAGGGTTGGATCGTTAGCTGGTGGAAATTGACATAGCCCATTGAAGTCTCTCCCTCCTCTCCTCTGAGGTCAAATTAAACATTCAGATTTTTTATTAACAAAATTTCAAACACAAAAAGGGTTGTTAAATCCAGACTCCATGTTATGGTATTTACATAGTTGAGGGAATTCTGATTCCCAAGCTGCTGTGTTTCTAGACAGCTCCTTTTTAAGGTTATGAAAGGTTACATTTCACAGAATCCAGCCATGGAAAGAAGCCTGTAAATCTGGAGTATGTGTTAGATGTTCTCAGATAATCTCGACGTTGCCGTCAGAATGAGGAAAAATGTTTTTTTTTCTCCATTGTCTTGCCATTTGGCATGTTACATGCATGTTTATTTTCCTGACTGTTCCTTCTGGTTGGTTGTTGCTTGGAAGCAGGACTGCGTCCCTAGCCTGACGACCAATACATATATAGGGAATTTGCAACCTGACATTAGTCCCTCACAAGCCTGGTACAACACAATGGAAACAATAGCATTTTAATGGCAAGATTTACTGCTCATAAAACCTAGGCAGGTAGCACAATGGCAAAGTCTGAGTCACCCAGGGCCTGATCCTGGGATGTGCTGAGCACCCTGGACTCCACTGTGAGTTAGGACTCAGCACCTCTCAGCAACTGCATTGGTTACATGGGTATGTTTTGAGTTGATTTGCACTCTCCATGGTAACACAATGGCATGACTTAGAAACAATTGCCAACCTGGTAGGAAAATTCCATGTATTTGTGAAGTGCAATAGGGGCTGCTTAGCTTTTGTTATATTGTGCATGCACGTGAAACAATGTAAGATCATGTGCATGGATGGGGAGGGACTCAGGGAACCTCCCTCCCTCCTCTGGTCTAGTGCACCCTCCCCAGGGCTAGGCTCACCGTGGCTCTCGTCACTAGGGAACATGAAGCGGGGAGGGCTGGTTAGTGCTGACGGCAGTACTAGAAGCCCAGGCTGTGTTTCTGGGCTGGGTGAAGCCAGAGCTGTGTCCCTTCTGCGCTGGGATGGCTGCATGGTGGAATGTATTGGATATACCTGTTGAACAGGTATGACAAGGGCTTCCCTAGCCTAGGCACCGAGAAGAATTATGCCTTTCTTCCTCCTCTGCCCCATTGCAGCTCGAGCCGTACAGGAGCCCTCAGTGGTTTTGTGATCGAGCGGTGTAGTGGCTAGAAAAGGGCCTTTGGTTTTAGACTCCAGGGGGCGTGCAGTTGGGGAGGAGTGTCTTACACTCAGAGTTTGCATAAGGCCTGGGGGATAGTGAGGCTTAATTAAATTCCATTAAAAGAACTCAGAGAGAATATGATAGTGTGGTTATCGTCAGACAGGTGCCTATGTAAGAACGGCACCTGCTTATGGAGACGTTCTGCTCCCTGTGCATTAAACCCAGTGCTGTGGTCTAAGTACATGAGTTCACCCTCATCTGTTTCATGGTTGCGAAGACTGATACATCCACTGACACCATGCTACTCCTGTGATCAAATTCTCCATAGTGCCACTGAACACAATGGTCTCACAGTGGGCTGGAAACGTAGAGCAAGCCCTGATATTCAATATTCTTTCCATGAAGATGTCACCATTGTCAATTTATACTGCATCCTTCTGGTTTCTTACTGTATTTTTAATCTGTGCAGCTGCTCACTGTTTGTTAGTGACCGTCTTTCCTCGCACAGTCAAACTGTGCCTTTCTTGTTTTGCCATGCAACTAGCCTCTTCCTTCTTTCAGTCCCTAAGCTATCTTTTGCTGCTCTGTTTCTCTGCTGAGACCTATAGAATTCCATGCAAATAAGACCCTACTGTGAATGACTGACTAGGGAAGACCTTAGGGGAAGTGATGAAAACCTCATTGTATGAGTCATTTAAAATTAAACTGGATAAAGCACTGGGGAACAGTCTGAAGGGAACAATTGTGCATTGGCCAGAGGTAGCCCACAAGTGACTCAGTAGTAGAACTGAGCCCAAACCGAAACTGGATCTGAACTTTCCTGCGCTTTGCAGTGTTGAAAATCCAGATCTAAATGTAAATTTTGTGGCTTAACATTTGCTCTGCTCACCGGGGTGAAATTCTGGTTCCACTGACGTCAATGGCAAAACTTCCATTGACTTCACCAGGGCCAGGATTTTGCCTTAGGACTTGTCCTTCTTAGCATCTCAAATTCTTACTGGATTTGCTGTGTTTGTCATACTCACATCTGTGACATTTACCACCCCGATCTGTGGCTTGAATAGGTCGATCTTGAAGATCTTCTCCCAATAGGTGATGAGCTGCAGCAGGGGGGGAAAAAAAGCTAAGACAAATGTGTTTAAACAACCACTTCATATTAACACAGCCAGCTGGCTATTGAAGAACAAGCTATCCAGCAATCAGTCTAATCCTGGAAATCAGAGATGGGTTCTCTTGTGTGGCTGTGTAAAATGCTAACCAGTGGGCTGTCCCAACAGCATCCATTTAATGGTGGAAACACCAGATCAGTTTCTTCTCCAGCACTGTCATGCAGATTTGACTTTGAGGTGGTTCCTTGCTGGTTAGTTCCCAATTTGCCATGCTATGTCTCAACTTCTCCCATATCTTCTCTTCTCTTCCTCTACATTCTGTGTGTTCTCTGGTAGGATGAGTGCACACACACACACACACACACACCAGCCAAGGAGGGAAATGATCCTCCGCCACTCACCAAAGGAAAGTCATCAGGGTCGATCCACACAATGCTAAGGTCAGGATTGTCGGTGTTCTCCTTGGCGACTTGTTTCAGAATCTCCAGGAACTCAAAGCCATCTGAAATGATATATGTGAACCTCCCAGTCTCGCAAACAAGCACCCCGACACACGCTCCTTGTTTTGTTGCAATGTCCAGGCTAAAGATGGCGTACAAGGCTCCTTTTTATTTAAAAAATTTCTAGCTAACCTCCATTCCTTATGATGATGGCTGCTACATGACAATGCTTTGCACTTCTCTAGCAGCTTTCCTCCAAGGATATCAAAATGAAGCGAGTGAAGGGTGGGGTTTTCACTAATGCCCGAGTGATTTAGGACCACAAATGCCACTGACTTGTGCTCTTAAATCACTAAGGCACTTTTGAAGATCTCATCCTAAGTGCTTCACCCAAGATCACACAACAAGTCAGTGGCAGAATTGGGACAAAAACCTAACGGTCCTGAATCCCGTCCTCTGCTCACTCAGCCTGTGCAGTAGGACTCTAGGAACTACCATCCCAAACTAATTAATAGTTCATGCAGAATATTATTTTATCTCCAACAGCTGCCAGAGTCAAAAGCTTCTGAGGAAGATGTAAGCCCCTCACGAATCTCCTGTCTGTGCCATGCTGACCACACAGAGGGGTACATTTCTTCCTAACCCCAGCTGGTCACAGTTTAAGCTCTGGAGCATGAGGATTGATATTCTTTGCAATTTAATCCTAACTGATATAATTGCTGAGGCTATTCTTATTCTCTGGCTAAAAGTTCACACAAGCATCCTGACTCCAGATCCCTGCAGGACCTGTCTCCCTTTTCCCAGTTTGCGTGTGGGGTTCTCGCTGCTTGATGGAGGCAGGCCCTGCTGAACTGGTCTGACAGGCTTGCCAACTGCCAGACTGCATTTGCTTTGGAAACTTTCTCATGCCAGGTAAGGTATGGTAACTGAACTGCAAAGCAACAGACACACCTTCTGGGCGACGCTTCCTCGTGGCTGCACTAGTGAAGGGGAGACAGACTTCCCTTTAGAATCAGCACAGATCCTGAGGTGCTCCATGCAGGGATTGGGATTGGTAAGGGATTGGGAGGGGGAGAAGGTGTCTCCAAGATGTGGAGTCAGTTTAACAGAGTGTAAGATGGTGTAACTAACACACTCCGAGGCTCGGAGGGAGGATTCTTGCAGGAAAAGCAACTTGCAAGAAGGGATGACAAGGTGTAAGTCCTTGGGGCTGAGAAGAGGGCCTATGTGTGAGGCTCATACCAGGTAACCATAATGCAAGTCAAAGATGATCCTAGCTGATCTGATAGATTTCCAGCTAGGTGTGGGGAGAGACAGGAGTTATGTGGGGGTAAGGAAGGGCCTCCTACCCGGGTCGTCTTCTTCGGCGAAGGCCACAATGTGGATTCCATCCAGGTCATCCTCCTGTGGACAAGAAAACTGTTACTGGCTGGTCAGGAGAGAGGAGGAGAGGGCATTGAGAGGTGATGGGGCAGCTTGAGTGCGGGTTGCTGTTGGAGATGAGGTCTGAATTATGATGTGACATTAGAGGGTGGGGCTTAGGTGGGTGGAGATGTGGAGGTGATAGGTACCACAAGGAAGAGTTTGGCTGCAGTTGCTGTGGAGTAATGCACAGCATTGGATGGGATCTGCTGTGAAAGAGGAGGAGGAGGCCACCACGTCAAGGGTTAGGGCTGGAAGGGGGGAAGAGAAGGAGGAGGAAGAGAGCACTTTGCAAGGCTTGGACGCAGTTGCTAAGAGCGATAAGGATGGGCCTGCGGGCCTGGCAGTGGTGGAGAGGCATTGTTCCTGTAGAAGGCCTAGTGCCCCATGGCTTGCTGTGGAGAGCCAGGTGAGTACAGGGTCTTTCTACACTAGCTGGAGCCTGAACTCTCCAAAATGCTTCCCTGCTGCCAGTGTCAGTGTGCAGTGTCAGTGTGCCCTGCTGTCAGTGTGCAGGGTGATGGCCATGCCCCACCCCCACACAGACATGCCCCTTCTGGGCTGGTGCGTGATGCCAATAGCATCAGCTGGTGTTCCTCCTCTCCCAATAATGGAAGAAATGAAGTGGCTCAAATGAGTCTCTGTAAGGGGTGAAGAGCCCAAGGTTTTGGAGGGGGGTCACTGTGAGTAGTGAGGGGGCTCAGACGGGGTGGGTGAGAGGTGAGGGGGCTCAGACGGGGCAGGTGAGAGGTGAAGGAGCTCAGATGGGGTGGGTGAGAGGTAAGGGGTTCAGATGGGTGACTTTGTGAGATCTGACAGACTTAGATGAGGCTGATGTGAGGGGCTTGGGTTATTTGCTCCATGAAAGCTGTGGGGGTGTGAGTAGGGCTTGGCTAATGACATTGGCAAAAGCCAATGTATTAGCCAGGCTGTTTATTGTGCACCTGCTATGAAAGTTGTCTCAGAATTATCCCACGGTAAAGCCTCGGTTTCTTCATCCTCTGCCGATGCCAGTTTCCATTTCAATTGATTTTAATGCAAGAAAAAATTCCCATCTAAATGCTAATTTCTTTTCCCCTTTGAGCCCAGAGGTGACAAAACCACTATCAAAAACTAAAAACAACAACAAAATAAAACAAGCTAAAAGATTAAGTGGAAAACATTATCTTTAAAAACAAAAGCGGGTGTCAGGCCTGTCCTAGCTTCTTTGGGGACTCCCATTTTCACAGGGACACTTAGGACAGATTTGCTACAGAAATCAGACCACAAACAGATTGAGTAGCCTCCAGTTTTGTTTTTCCTTTACATTTGCCAGCAAGATCATTGCACAACAGACTAAAAAAAAAATCTACATCTCCTTAGACAAATGGAGCCAGATTCTGATCTCAGCTGCACTCGTGTAAACCTGGAGTAATTCCAGTGATGTCACTGTGACTATTCTGAATTTACACCTGGGTAACTCAGATCAGAATCGAGCTCCTCATCTCTTGTGCATAAAAATCTCCTTACCTTAATGGATGTAAACCCTGTATTTTAACACTGTGTTTATTAAGCAAACTTTCCACCACTGACAATCCATGCTTTTTTCAAGACTATATTATGACATATTTAATATTAAATCAAAATCACTATGGGTGAAATCCTGGTTCCGTTGAAGTCAATGATAAAACAAAATGACCATTAACAACACTGGAGCCAGGATTTAACCCAGTATATCAAAACCATATTTAAAAAATAAATGAAAACCCTGGGTCCAACAAGACATAAAGCCTAAACGACTCAATCTTCAAGGTTTTGTTGCATCATTTCTTTCCTTATTGTCTCAAGGACTAATCCTGCAATCAGAGGCCCGAGGTGTCTCAAGTTGGGCAGCCAAGCAGACACTGTTGTAAATGTTGGTCCTGAGCTCTTTGGAGAAATAATTGTATCTTCTTCAATGTCTGCAAAGCACCATGAGTGGAAACACAATGAATGAATAATATTAAAGTGAATTTGTCGGAATGCAGGACACAATTGGAGCTCCTGACTGGCTTTCAGTGTCACACTCATGTTTATTAGAGCTGAGTCATTTGCAGCAAATAATTCGTTCTATGAATGTCCGATGAAGTGAGCTGTAGCTCATGAAAGCTTATGCTCAAATAAATTTGTTAGTCTCTAAGGTGCCACAAGTCCTCCTGTTCTTTTTGCGGATACAGACTAACACGGCTGCTACTCTGAAACCTGTCACTTTCCCCCAGTTCACAGAACACGGAATTCTTACCTATGTTCTTACATTTCAAATTTCTGGTGAATTTCTTCAGAATCTTTTACCTGCAGTTCATTCAAACTGTACCTATTACAATCAATGTACAATTTCTTCTGTAACTCATGTGACTAATCTAACTATTCCAACCTGAATTTCAAATGGGATATTCTGTTGTAACATTCACAATTCATGCTGTGTAAGTTCCATAAGCCATCCAGAAACAACACTACGTGGCTGAGCTATCTAATTAACCCTGTGAACACTACAGGTGAATAGATGATTCCTTACCCAACGACGTTGAATATGAGTATATTGTAGTCACCATTATAGACTCAATATTGTTACCTCTTGAACCAGCCAGAGTGATTACTTAACACTGAACTGAGAATATCTTCTCCTCTTCTGTACTCTAGAACCAGCTGTTCCAAGATGCAATTATTTAAGGTGCTGGGAAATTGCTTCTTTAAACCTTGACCCAGAGTGCCATTTGACCAGTTTATGCAAGCAGATGGATTGTTATAGTTATTATGTTTTGATTTTCCTCAGCACTGTGCATTCAACACCATTATCCCCGATTCTGGCCCTGGTTCAGCAGTCTAGCTCCAAACGGCAAAGCACTTAAGCATGTGATTTAACTTTACACACTGGAAGCTATGGATGAAGCTTTCCCTGCTGCATAATCACTCAATGTGCTTGTAAAGCTGCAGAGGCTTTGGGGGATAATGCTGCTGTCTAATCATCACAGCTTGGAGCTTTTCTGTAGCAATTCATGAGCCAGAGCAGATTTGTTTCTCATTCAAAGATTTCAAGGGACTAAAGACTTCCCTCCCTTGTGTGCTTACCCAGGTCTCAAACATGTCTTCTGGACGCAGCTTCCTCAGGGTGGCTCTGAAAAGAACAAAAGCACCTTCTCTTAGGATGCAGGCATGTTATTCATATTGCTGGTGTGAATGGAAAAAGCAATCATGAAGCAGGTACCTACCAGTGGGATTCACCTCTCTAGGCCCCTTCTGGGTGTGGACAGAAGGGTCAAATTCTGCTCTCATTTCATAGATTCATAGATACCAAGGCCAGAAGGGACTGTTGTGACCATCTAGTCTGACCTCCTGTATAACACAGGCCATAGAACTGCCCCAAAATGATTCCCGGAGCAGATCTTTTAGAAAAACACCAATCTTGATTTAAAAATTGTCAGTGATGGAGATTCCACCATGACCCTTGGTGAATTGTTCCAATGGTTAATTACCCTCACTGTTAAAAAATTACGCCCTATTACCAGTCTGAATTTGTCTAGCTTCATTTTCCCTCCATTGGATCATGCTATTCCCTTCTCTGCCAGATTGACGGGCCCATTATTAAATATTTGTTCCCCATGTAGATACTTAAAGTCTATGATCAAATCACCCCTTAACCTTCTCTTTGGTATCATCTGCAAACTTGATAAGTATACTCTTTATGCCATTGTCTAAATCATTGACGAAGACATTGAACAGAACTGGAACCAGAACTGATCCCTGCAGGACCCCACTCATTATGCCCTTCCATCATGACTGTGAACAGCTGATAACTACTCTCTCGGAATGGTTTTCCAAACAGTTATGCACCCACCTTATAGTAGCTCCATCCAGGTTGTATTTCCCTAGTTTGTTTATGAGAAGGACATGTGAGACAGTATCAAAAGCCTCACTAAAATCAAGCTATATAACATCTACTGCTTCCCCCCCCCCCATCCACAAGGCTTGTTACCCTTTCGAAGAAAGCTGTTAGGTTGGTTTGAAACAATTTGTTCTTGACAAATCCATGCTGACTGTTACTTATCACCTTATTATCTTCTAGGTGTTTGCAAATTGATTGCTTAATTATTTGCTCCATTATCTTTCCAGGTACTAACTGGTCTGTAATTCCCCAGGTCGTCCTTATTTCTCTTTTTATAGATGGGCACTATATTTGACCTTTTCCAATTCTCTGGAATCTCTCCTGTCTTCCATGACTTATCAAAGATAATTGCTAATGGCTCAGATATCTCCTCAGTCAACTCCTTGAGTATTCTAGGATGCAGTTCACCAGGTCCTGCTGACCTGAAGACATCTAACTATGCCTGTTGCCTGCAGCACATGGATTCACTACAGACTCTCTCTGCTATTCCTTTTCTACTCTTCTTTTGGGGTTTGAATCTCCACATCCCTGTTTCCTAGCCCACTTTCTCCTTTCTCTCACTGCTGGGGTGAAATCACAGCAGCATGCTCTGGGGTGGTGGCAAAGTTGTGATTCACCAACTCCTCACCACAGGGTGGAGTGTGTACCTAGTGAAGATGTGCTGTGAGATGGAGGAAAGCCCTTGAAGAGTCATCATAGCACATGAGAGGGAGTGGTTGTTTCTATACATTTGACAACTTTCTACAATGCCATGGCACCAATACAAAACAGTGATTCCAGGACCTGGCTAGTTCCCGAGTGGAGAACTCCCAACAACAAAATGTCTGAGGGACTTGTAGATGCTAGGTAGCAGGCACTAGTGTAACACACTCTTTCTGCATAAACATGTTGTCCTCCCACATGACCCCTCTATCCATTGCCACACTCCCTTTCTGAACTCTGTGCAACCTGCCTCTCTGTTACCAGTTGCTGACTTGACCACCGAGAAACGATCAAATGGCAGGTGGATTGGATAGAAGGAGAGGTGCATAGGAGTCGAGCAGAGAAATGGCAGGAACCTACAGAAGGCAGTAGCTGGGAGATGTAGGGAACCAGCAAAAAGGAGAAGAGGCCAGATTAGGGTACTTCTGAAGGGTTGAGAGATGGCAAACTGGGAGGAGTGAGAAATGCATCTTCAGCTGGGAGGGGGTTGTACCTCATCTGTTGGCGAGGAAGTGATATACTCCTCATCAGAGTCAACTGCTGACTTAACCTCACGTTCCATACCGGCCTGGTCATTTCCATTTCCAGCTAAATGCACCTCCCAGTTTTGTCTTACGTAGCTGTATGGCCCAGGTCCTGAAGCAGGATAGGAAGAGCTTGTCTGTTGTGAGGGGCTCAAAATGAGCTGCTAGGAACACGTCATTAGGAACTGAAGATTTTCTACATGACACAACAGGATCTTGATGGGCTGGATTTTCACAGATATATGATTTCATTAAACCTCTTCCCCCCCCCCCCCGCCCTTCTTATCCTGGGTACAGATGGCATCAGTCATCCCCCACCTCCTGCCAAACCTGCCGTATCATCTTGCAATCTGTGAGGCTCAGAGATTTTCCTTTTCCTTTTCATTGCTGATGGTTAGCAGCAGATGGAGAACCTCAGGGCCTGGCATTTGTCTGAGTGTTTAATCAGCCTCCTGTTCCTGCTGTTTGATGGAAAGAACGTGTTGAAAAAGACAGGAAGAGCTGAGGTCAAAGTCTCCCACATCAGTCCAAGAACAGCAGGACACTGATGACGGGGATGAGCCTACCTGATGTACTGAAGCTCCCCTCAACATTCCCGAGGAAAGTGAAACCATCTCTGAGTTCTTTGCCCACACATCCAGGGGCAATTCCCTCCTGACTCTAAACTTCACAATGAGTTTAACCACATGTGCGTGAGCAAAAATCATCAATCTAATCCCATTTACAACCCATGAGACCTTTGGTGACCATGTTTTCCTTGAATCCTTTCTTGATCCTTGATAGCCTATTAGATTAATTTGGATACGTATAACTGCTGGGAAAAGCAATTTATATGTGTGGGGCAATGCCCTTTCTGAACTCCATTGCACTTTATGTTTAAAGGTGCATATTCACCTTGTCCCACAGGCAGGTGCATACATAGATTTAACCCCTGAGATGGGAATAACCTCATTAGTCATATACAGAATCTTGGGCTACCAGGTTTTTTTTTTCTTCCTGCCCCATCCCTAGTCAAATATAAAGCTGGTCTGATCCCAAAAAGTATGGAGCACCCACAATTTGCATTGACTTGAGTGGAAACTTTTCCAGATCAGGCCCAATATAACCACATATGAAGTAGCTTCCTTCATCAGCCAACTCAGAACAAGCACACCGTACAGTATTGTTCCTCTTATCCCACCTCAAAGAGTGCACCGTGGTCTTAGCGCAGTACACGTGCTGATGGGTCACTTCTAACATCAGGAGCAGAAGATAGTCAGGGGTGGGGTGGGGTTGGACTGCATTTAGTGCTGCCTTGACAGCCCTGGAGAATGAGGCCTTCTATTTCTCCACAAAGGAAGGAACTGCATGAGCAGTGCATGCTTTCCACACTCTGCTATCAGTATGTCTCAATCTGGACCTAGATCAGTGGTTCTCCACCTATTTACCATTGTGGGCTGCATAGGCAGCTCTCTATGTGTTATGTGGGCCGCATCCACACAATATATATACTACCTATACATCTACATGGGCCACAGCTGTGTGCTGATTGGGCTGCAAGTGGCCCATGGGTTGCGGGTTGAGAACCACTGACCTAGAGGGACCACCTCTGGGAAGAAGAGGGGAGTTCAGTCTCCATTCAATCCTTAGCTCAGAATGCCTGGTTGTGAGGCACTGTAAACTGTACACTAGGAATTAGGCACAGTCTCACAAAATTAATGTCACATAGGCCACTGGACAGCTAACAGATGGTAGTAACCTTCACTTACTATTGAGATGGTCTGGGCTGGCACCAGCAACCATGAGGTGACAGGCTTCCTAGGCCAGTCCCAACTGCCTGAGCCAGCCAGTCCCTGAACAGCAGGCTATGTACCTTTTGTGCTCCTTCACAAACTCAACCAGCTCCTCTTCCGTGTAAGGCTTGTCGGGGACATGAACTGGCTCATCCATGAATGGCTCGTAGAAATCCACCTCATTCAGCTTCAGAGCTAGTTTCTTTGCAACCTGTGGCAATCACAGAAGTTACAAGTGAATAGGTCTGACATACCCACCTGAGTTAGCAAATGTCTTCCCCATTGCAGAGGAGTGGTGAGTATGATGTCCTCTGAGCACACCTTGTAGTGGGCATCTGTCGCACACACATAGCTCAGTCCTTCCCTTGCCAATACTGCTTTCTACAGTAATGGCCTCAAACACTGTGTCAGAACTGGGCCCACACGTCTCGCCCTTTGGTTTTCAAATCCAAACCAGGATCTGCATCTGAATTGCAGCAATGGCCTTTATCCTTATAATAGGGACAAATTAAAACCTGAAGTGTTCAAAACCCTGATCTGGAACCAAATTTTACATATGGGACCATCTCTAGATCTTAGAAGCACTATCGCAAGCTGTTGCATTTGCAGAGATGGGTACTGAATGGGTTTTTGATAAGCAGAATATTCTTTTGTGTTTTATAACCCTTTTCCCATCCACATGTCTCTAAGTGCTGTACACCCACCACTTTCTACAAACACCCACTGGGAGGCAGGTAATTTAATTATTACTACCTTCATTTTGCAGATGGAGACCTGCTGCACAGAGAGATGAAGACACTTGCCTAAATTTCATAGTGACTCATGCGCTGAGCTGCAAACAGAACACAGTAATCCTGACTCCCAGGTCTGTCTCTAGAGACTGCACTTCTCATTGCCAGCATGTGCATGGCCTGCCTATCCATGAGGAGGCAAAACTTCCATGTGCTTCTTGTCCTCTAGCTGATAAATGTTCCCCTTCTTGGGATGGGCCTCTCCACAGTTGAGTCTGTTTTACCTGCCAACTTACGGTGTAATACTTACTGCACCTTCTTGTCTAATATTGCTCTCCATGTGTGAGGCTATTCACAGTTGCCCCAGAGTACTGTATTACCCCTCGTCTGCCCCAGCCCATTAACTTGCTTCCCCTTTCAGCCCTTGTCCCTTTCCAAGCCTATTGCCTTCTGTCCCCGTCCCTCCTTCAGTCTCCACTCTGTGCCCATCTCGCTTCATCCCCTGTTCTGCTAGCCTGCCCCTGTACCTCAACCTGTCCCTGCTAGAGAGGCACCGGGGCAGGAGTGATCCCACTCACCCACCTTCTGCTCCCTGCTACCAATGGATCCTCACTGGCTGGGAGAGGAGGAGGAGAGACAGTCTCCCTGTCCTCAGTAAAAAGAAAAGGAGTACTTGTGCCACCTTAGAGACTAACCAAATAAATTGGTTAGTCTCTAAGGTGCCACAAGTACTCCTTTTCTTTTTGCGAATACAGACTAACACGGCTGTTACTCTGAAACCTGTCCTCAGTGACAGCCTCACAGCTGACCCCATTTAGTAGGAGGAGTCATTGCATGGGAAATGCCATTTGGTCCCTGCAGCCCTGCTGAACCGGGAAGATCATTCCAGCAGGGCTAAGGAAATGCATGACAGAGTGGGAGGGCCAGAGACATGTGTCATGTCCAATGTATGACACTTGGAAGTGCTGAACAGAGGGAAAGGGGTGAGTGGCTGCAAAGCCCCTACATTTACTGCCCCTATCACCCCAGGATACTGCTGTGTGCATGTCTGGAGTAGAAATTACTGGAGAATCAGGATGGTCTACTTTTTTCACATGCACTAGAATTAACCACCAAATTATAGCTAAAGTGTTCACTTTACACACGCAACCCAGAATCAATCCCCCCCTCCCCAGTGAGCAGGTTACACTTGTTTTATACACTCATCGAATGCCAAATTGGTTCAAGCTACATGACGTCACCGCTGTTTTCTGACTAATTTCCACCTGATGTATAATGTACACTGCTGAATTTAGGCCAGAGACTTCTAGCAGAATTGTCTCTTTGGGACAAATTCATCCCTGATCTAACCCCACTGAAGCCAACAGTCTCTGGAACCTGCTTTGTGTTTAGACAATGACCTAGATCAGAGCGGTCACTGCTTTGTTTGGCTGGGGATAGAAGCCCCTCTTGATTTCCAGTAAGAAGAGAATTTTCTTTGCCAAGGCAGAGTAATGCATCAGGACTCAGGATGAAATTTAGAGTCAGATTCTCAAAACCCTGACTGAAAACTCCCGATCTGCTGAGCTTTGGGAAAGTCCTGATCTTAACTTCACTGATTTCAGTCATTGTTAGCCTAATCCTGAACTCTAAGTTGAATGCACTTTGGCTGTGCAGAAAGGAGACTGTGAGCTCTCAGGAGGGTGTTTCCGGATGCTTACCCCTTTGTCAAAGGTGGCAAAGAATTTGATGGATGGTTGGAAGTGTTCTGCTGCTTCTTCAAATGCCTTGTAATCTGAAAGGAGAAAAGACAGAAAAGAGTGTTAAAGAAGAGATCCCAAAGGTATCTGACCCAACTGTGCTCTACACAAACCCAGTGGAACTTGTCAGTCAGGAATCTGAGGACTCAAGCTAATATGTAGCAGGGAAGGGAGGAGGTTTTTGTAGCTAAGGAATAGGCCTTGAGGTCAGGAAACTGGGGTCTATTCCTAGCTCAGCTGCTGTGTGGCCTTACCCAAGTCAATTGACGGCTCTGTGCCTCAGTTTCTCCATCAATAAAATTGGGATAATGGTGCTTACCCACCCCTCAGGAAGGTTGTGAAGTTAAGGTCATTGCTGTTTGTGAAGCATTTTGAGATCCTTGGGTAGAACATTGCAGATAATAACAGTACTGAGCCTTTTTCATCTTTATTGGACTTACCAAGAAGAATTATTTAGTGCTGATTTATAGTTTGTATAAATGTTTGCAGATTCCCAAGGTATCTTTGTAGAAGGGTAGCCCATGGAAACTACAGATCCCAGAAGGCAATGCTGCCATGCAAATACTTTTCCAAGCAGCCCTACTGGGCAAGGTAAATTTCTGGTCCCAACTCCTACCCATGACAAGAGTGCCCGCAGCCACCCTCCCACACACAAAGCTGCAGCTCGGTCTGAGAAATGTACCATCAGCTGGAAAGTCCTGTTCAGCTGAACTAGTGTTAATGATTTCAGTGGGTTCCTGGATGACCATACAAGCTCCCTTAGCTCTCACTGTGGGGGTGGAGGAGAGGGTGAGTTTCCTCTATGACTGCTGATATCAGCTCCCTGGCTGGAGTCAAGAGTAGCTTCACTATAGTATGAGCATTGCACAGATAGGTGCTTTGTTTTGGAGGGTTTGCATCATCCTCTGAAACATCCGCCGTGGACCATTATTAGAGACAGGATACAGGACTAGCTGGATGACTTGTGGCAGGGAGATAGGAAACCAGAGTAGATGGGCCAATGGTTTGTTCCAGAACAGCAGCGCCTACCACCCTACAGTGGGATTAGGATCTGAACACCTATACTTTTGCTATACAGTTTTTTGCTGTTTTATTTAACATGTGAATAAGCTCAAATGAAAAGAGCAGACAGAAATTTCCAGGTGCTCTCAGCCCACCTCCACCTGTTGGCAGAGATTTTGACCCTCTGTGGCACACCCTCCCCTCTTAAGATCCCTGATCAGGAATCCCCCACCTTGTTCCTAAAGCCCATCCAGACTAGAGCAAGGAACAGGTCAATCTCACGTTCAGAGTCTTCTCCTTTGAAGTAGCCAATGAGTTTGATCTCATCCTCAATGCGGTCGAAGGCCTGTAGCTCCAGCTTGCTGTTGATGATTTCCACGGGGTCCTCCAGCAACTGCCATGACAAATGTATTTGATAAGCAATCCTACGTTTGCAGCACCAGCCTCCTACAGGCTACTTTTACAGAGGGCCTAAAGGGGAGGTCTTAGCTTGCTTCCCTCCTGCCAGAACCGTACCCAACCCCCATGGCAGGTTCCCAACCCAGCGCTGAGGCAAGGAACCCAAGAGTTGAGTTGGCTGAGAGCACCCTCAAAGAGAGCTGTCAGTAAAGAAGTCTGGACCAGGGAAGTGAATGGTTGACAGACAAGAGGTGGACAGGGAGAATTTGGGACCTGGCCACAGGATGGGACATCTCCAGGGGGTTTGTATGAGGGTAGGATAGCTGGGTGAGGAATAGGTCTGCTGTGGGAAGACAGAAGGAGCAATCAGCAGCCCAAAGGATCACAGAGAACCTGGTGGGGTGGGGGAATGAGGGTTAGGAAGCAGGATGGTGGGTGTCTTGTGTTATGGGGGATTGGGGGGGATGAGTGATCAGCAGCTGAGAGAGGCTGGAGGGGTGGTTGGGAGAGTAGCTGTTGATGAGGTTGAGTGTTGACACTTAAGATAGGCCAAGAAAGATGTTAAGGTTTGCCTGGGAGCAACACTCCCATAGTGCTTTGCAGTTTTAGATAACGATATCTAACAAAGATTGGAATTTTACTGTGCAGTAACCTAACCCTTCGCTTATTTTGAATGCTATTTTTAAGATCTATTCTTACAGTATGCTGGCTGCAAGATGTGTAACGGATGAAATGATCCAAAAAAGGGCATATTCACTGAACAGCCACTAGGTGATAAGACAGTTGGAGAGTTGCAATGGAACAGGGAACCTTGGAAATAAGGTAAGGAGATGTATGTACCAGAAGGAGGAATTAGATAAAGACCAGAATGATACACAATAAGGGTAACAAGGGTGTGATTGTTCAGAGGGGAAGTAAGATCACTGGCAGACTGGATGCCAGCTGTTAGAAAGTACAGGGAAGGTCTTCCACGGTTATTGGTAATTGTATGCCTTCCTGTGTATATACTGTCCTTCTTAAATGTTTGATTAATAAATACAATCAAAACTGACTTATCTGAGGTCTGTTATTATTAAACTAATCTGAACTGGAGAGAACGCTTCTCACTAAATATATAATCACAGTTAAAATTCCTACCAATTATTGGTTATTGATTATTAATAAACTATTGATTATTGATTATCAGCATGAGGTTATTTGAGTTCCTTTAGTGCAAATGGTTGAGGTTAAAGGGGGAAGACACTGTAAACAAATGAATGATGCTGGGTGACAATGTAATTTCAAAGGCCAGTCAGAGTTAGGCCCAATGCTACCAGGGACTTCTGGAAAGTTTGGATCTGGATCTGAATTTTATGGCTGACCCTATCTGTAAAGTGGGTTATATCAAACCTGGAGATCCAGACACCTCAGAACTTGGGGGAAGGAGGGGTTCCAGACCTGTCTGCAGCTCAAACCCAAGTCTAATGCAGATCTCAGCCTTTGATTTCTTAAGCTGCCACAGACAAGGAAAGGATTGGTCTGATGGCCGTCTCAGTGACACTGGTGTAAATCAGAAGTGACTGCACTGGAACCAATGGAGATAGACCAGTATAAAACCTGTATGAGGGAGAATTGGGCCCATTTTCTTTAGGGACAATTCTGCTCACACACTAAATATTTTCTGTCATTCTTGTCCCTTGTTTGTTTAGGATTTTCTTTATTATAAGGCACCTGTTAAAAGAAGAGAAGATCTTTGTTCGCTTTCTTTTGTCACTGCTATGTTTTATATGCACATGTCAAAATACAGCAAACAAAACATCACACCAAGCGACTTGTGCTGCATAATAAATGACACTTGGGTGTACATCATGTGTGTCTGCTACCTCCTACTAGAAACTAGATGGAAAGCCAGAACAGCTCCAGTGTTTGTTACTATAGTGCCCTCTAGTGGATGGCCGACAGAGGATATGAACCCTATAACAGCAATTGATAGTTCGTTGCCACAGAATCATTATCACACCAAAGCAGAGACCCTATCCCTACCCTGAGCCCAGCCCTGAAGCAATATCAGAAGCAGTATCCTTCTGGTGGGAAGCCAATATGCAGCATTGTTCCCTGCAAGTCTGTACTGACCCAGTAACCCAGCACAATACTGACAGATGTGCCATCCTTCAGAGGAGAAGCTGAGGACAAGTGGCATACACATATTGTGGGCCTTGTCTTGTCTTACTTACACTAGTGTAAATTAAAAGTAGCGTCACTATCATCCATGCAGTAAGCTGTTATAAACCACACCCTGCACCATATCTCTTGCCACCAATTTCTGGTCTCCTGTAACTTACGCTGGTTTTAGGCAGAGATGGAGTTTTTCCTGCTATTCCAGAAAACTAGCTGCCAGCCCCCATTACAGATTTATCTTTAAACAGGTGGGGATAAACAGCTGGATTTGACAACATTTCATGAGAAAATGAGTGGCCTAGTGGTTACAGCAGTATATGGGGGGACTGGAGATATGGGTTACTGATGAGCTCAGGGCTGCCATGTCATCTCTCAGTGTCCCAATCTGCAAAATGTAGATAGTAATAATCACAAGCCCTGATAAAGGCCTTGGAGCTCTTCAGATTGAAGGAGCTACATAGAGCAGGACCACATTTTTTCTCTAGAGCAAAGATCTTGTTTCCAAGCTGATGTCCCTCCTTGTAATAAAGAATAAGGGTAGAGAAATAGAGAGCATCTGTCAGACCAGTAGCATAATTTCTGTGTTTTCAGCAGGCACGAGTACCTCTTTGTGCACTGGCAGAAATAGACAACATAACCTGATAGGTCCAAGTTCTACCGACCATATTCTCCTCTCACTTACACTGGTGCAATTTCATTGTTTTCATATGTCTGATCATGTCTAGGGACGGGCAAACTGGTCAGCAAATAATTTAATCACGGAGCTATTTTTAGTACATTACCTATGAACACACTTGGATTATAACTAATTTGTTCTTTCTTCTAAATCAATGATCACTTTATTCAAATGTATTCCCATTTGCTAGTTATTTACTATTTGTGGTGTGTGACCGGTCACCTAAATCACATGGCATTGTTTCTTGCGCCCTGATTGGATGACTGAACATCTTATAAGCAGGAGGAGGAAAATCAAAGAGATTCCATGATGGCCATGTGAACACTTTGGGTGTCAGCCTTGGTGGGGAGTATTCATGAAGTTTTCAAACAAGAAAATCATATGTATGCATGTTCGCAGAAAACAGACAAGAAGGGGTTCCAAATAGGACTGAAGCTCATTTGTGGCGAATATTTGCAAAAACATTTTGGAAGTATTTGCCCAGTTCTGATCTTATCTGTGCTTACGTCCAGGAGGAATTCAACCAAGACATCTGCAGCCAGTTCCCCGTCAAATTCAATCATGCGCTCCTCCTTGAAGACATAGAGGCTTCCTTCTTCATCCAAACCTGGAAGAAGGGGATGAAGAGACACAACATAGTCAGTATGCTACAGAAAGGGTTAATTGTGCATTCTGGGAAAATATGGTTAGCAGCCCAGCTGCGTGTGCCCACTTGTCAGTGAAAGTTCCCTGTGGGAAACAAATCTGATCTATCCGCTGAGAGACATCACAACTAGGGACAGGCTGGATCTGGAACCCTAGATCAGTTTTCTCTCAAACTTTGAGAAAGTTCAGTTTCTGATTCAGATGTGAGCTTCATGACTTGGGCCTCTTTCCCTTTAAACTGCAAGAATTTTGCTAAGCAAATAATAAAAATAAATAATCTTGGGCTCTAACTGGCATTCCAAAACCAAACACCCCAGAACTTTCAGAAAATTGGTTTGGATTCAGATCTGGGATCTAGACTTCACTGTTGTGCCTGGATCCCTAGAGATGGTTGTGCCAAGTCTGTATAAAATAAGAACTGACCAATAAGCCAAAGTGAGTCTCAAACTCTCTAAGACTCACCTAGGTCTAGCATATGTTTGTGTGGCACCATGTATATAGATGGATTCCAGAGTGCTTCACAGACTAGATATAAAGATATCACCCACCCCTGAAATGCAGCAACTCCTGGGGTGGAACGCAGCAACCTTACACCTCTATAGTAGGTCATCAGTTCGAATCCATTTTAGGGAAGGCAATGTTTCACAACTAGAGAGGCAAGCCCCTGTAGGGGTTATCACAACTAGTCTAGGGGGCAGAGGACAGAGGAGAACACTGGAGGTGGAGAAAGTAGTATGACTCCAGATCTACCATTCCCAATGTAAATATGCTCCCACAACCACAAAATAATGCAATGACTGGCTTCTTGAGAGCCAGTCCCGTTCCCTCTCCTCCCATAGGAGCCCCTATTGTAGAGAACCACAGGAGTGCTCACTTGTATAGAGCTGCAGGCTCAAGAAGCAGGCTACAGAACCAAGCTATTCTCCTCTGCTCTTGTGGCATTCAACAGAGCTGCAACCTGTCACCAGCAAATGCTCCTATCCGAAGAAGTTTGTAGCCTCCTGCTAAGTGGGGTGCAGGAAGGAGAGCCACAAAAAACACCACCATGCTCAGAGTAAGAGAAAAAAGAGTTTGAAAAGAAAGAACAGGAGAGAGAAAATGGACAGAAAAAAAAAGATCCAGTAACAGTGCCTGAGCATAGTCATAAGGGGATAGGTGCCCATATTCTGAGGGGTGGGGGGAAGGGGAGAGAATCTTCCAGGAAGAGCTTGGGATGTGTTAGGGGACTGGATGATTTCCTGGGGATTGGTGATGTACTACAGAAAGTTTCAGCTCTACATCACTGCTTCAAATCTACGCCACTATGACATACCAGGGTATAGTCCAGAGCAGTGGGGGGCTGTCACCCCTGCCCTGCAACCTTGGGTGCCTTACAATGCCTTGCTGAGGTAGCTCCCACCTGGGCTGCTTACAAACAGCCTTCCACATGCAAGCCACACCCTGGATCTCATCAGCCTGGATTAAACTGCAGGGTGACCCCAACACACCCCAGTCCTGCATTTCCTCCCAGAAATGAATGGTCTGTACTGCTCAGCCCTCTCCTGGACAGTACAAATATATTAAGTCCATTAGTTCTTTAAGGGAATTGGAGGGTTGTTTCCTTCTGACAACACTCTGATGGCCTCTGTTAAATGAATTGTGAGTCTCCATCCAGCCATCACAAATAGCAAAGCCTGGCTTCTTTGTTGGCAGTCTCCACGAGGAAGCTAAATGGGGGAAAGGACCATGGATCCTGAACTCTCCTCTGGCCCTTACACAGTGAATGATTCCCTTAGAGCTGGGTGGGGCAGCATGCACGTGGAAAGCTGTCACTACCATTCTGTCATGTGGATAATCAGTTGGCTGCCCTCTCCAGGGCTGACAGTCTGGTGCCTTTCCGATGTGCTCTGGGCATGTTTTCAGAGACTTTAGCGATAACACTTACCCAGCTTTTTGGCTAGTTTTGCATCTTTCTTGGAATCCACAAACCCAAAGCCGAAACCTTTCGTTTCCAGGACCTGGGCAGCCAGCTGTAGGAGAACCCAGACATGAACATAAATGCCATGAACATAGGCCACCCAAATACCCCAAGAGAACCTACTTCAATACCAAAATAACCTCCCCTCTGACCGCACACCCCTAGTTGTCACCTATCACCCCACACTGGAACCCATGCGGGGTATCATCAAACAATTACAACCCAAATTATGACCCCATCCTGAAAGAAATCTTTCCTGAACCCCCTCTTCTGGCCTTCAAACAACCCCCCAATCTCGCCAAGCTCATCATCAGAAGCAAGCTACCCACACACCAGAGCACACTAATTCAAAGCAGCACCAGACCCTGCCAGAACAACAGATGCAAAACCTGCAGGCATATCCCCACTGAGTCTGCTACAATGATCAACACTCCCCACAACTCACCTTTCAGGCTCCAAAGGTCCTACACAGGTGGTTTACCTCATCCGGTGCACTAAATTTATGGTGACCCAGATATCCCAATTTTATAGGGACAGTCCTGATATTCAGGGCTTTGTCTTATATGGGTGCCTATTACTCCCACACCTCCTGCCCCGATTTTTCACCCTTGCCGTCTGGTCACGCTAACTAAATGCCCACTACGCTCTTGATGAACTCACACAGGAAAATGCTAAAAGACAAAAACACCCTATCATGTGTGGGTGAGCTCTCTGTGTCTGACCTCTCAGGCCTCATCCTCACAGGAAACCTGCACAACACCTTCAAAAGACGAGCCTGGGAGCTTCAATTCATAACTCTGCTGGACACTAAAAATCATGGTCTCAATAAAGACACTGGATTTATGGCTCATTACAACAATCTGTAACCCACTAACGCCCCCTTTTTGTCCTATGACTACAGGACACTTCACCTGGAATGGTCCCTTAGAATCAGTGATGAGCTGCCAAAATCTTAACAGTGGGTTCCCTCCTCACCCCACAAGGGGGTTGTTGCCCACCACCGCCCCCCCGGGACTCCTGCCCCATCCAACCCCCCTGCGTTCCTTGACGCCTCCCCGCCCAGGACCCCTGCCCCATCCACCCTGCTCCCCTGTCCCCTGACTGCCCCCAGAACCGGGCAGGAGGGTCTCGTGGGCCACCGTAGTGGGTGCCCACCCCACTCCTAAGAGCCAGAGGCACCTGCCAGGGGACGAGGTGGGGAGTGCCAGAGGTGCTTACCTGGGGCAGCTCCCAGGAAGCATCCGGCAGGTCCCTCTGGCTCCTAGGGGTGGGGGAGTGTAGCTAGGGGGGGAGAAGGGGGAGCGGCCGCTCCCCCACTGATCACATCAAAAGTGGCGCCTTAGGCGCCGACTCCCTGGGTGCTCTGGGGCTGGAGCACCCATGGGGAAAATTTGGTGGGTGCAGAGCACCCACCAGAAGATCCCTGCCCTGCGCCCGGCCCCAGCTTACCTCACCTCTGCTCCGCCTCCTCCCCTGAACACACCGTCCCGCTCTGCTTCTCCACGCCCCCTCCACCTGCCGGCTTCCCGCGAATCAGCTGTTCGGTGGGAAGCCTGGGAGGGCTGAGAAGCAGACGGCGGCTTCCCGCTCAGGCCGACGGTGGTGGAGGTGAGCTGGGGTGGGGAGCAGTTCCCCTGTGTGGCCCCCGCCCCGGGTTACCTGCTGCAGAGCGGGCGGCCCTCCTCGCGCCCCCTTGCCCCAGCTCACCTCCGCCTCCCTGGGCCTGAGCGGGAAGCCGCCGCCTGCTTCTCAGCCTGCCTCAGCTTCCAGCGCGAACAGCTGATTCGCGGGAAGCCTGCGGGGGCAGAGAAGCAGGGCGGGCAGCACGTTCAGGGGAGGAGGCGGAGCGGAGGTCATCTGGGGCCCGGGGTGGGACAGGGAGGGGAGTTGCCAGTGGGTGCTCTGCACCCACCAAATTTTCCCCTTGGGTGCTCCAGGGCTGGAACACCCATGGAGTCGGTGCCTAAGGTGCCACTTTTGGCCGGTTAAATTTAGAAGCCCTTTTAGAACTGGTTGTCCCTTGCAGAACAACTGGTTCTAAAAGGGCTTCTAAATTTAATAACCAGTTCTAGCGAACCGGTGCGAACTGGCTCCAGCTCACCACGGCTTAGAATATGTGCTAATTACTTATGCCAGACAGTCTGTTCAATCTTGTATTTAGCTGTGACAATCTAAGCACCTTTCCCAGGAGGGAGGAAGAGCTCTGTGTGGCTCGAAAGTTTGTCTTTCTCACCAACAGCAGTTGGTCTAATAAAAGATATTACCTCACCCACCTTGTCTCTCTAATGAACACCACAAGACAGTTAAAAGTCATCGTGACCAACCAGGATGGCACCATAGTGACAGGTGACCTACATTCTGCTTTCTGAGCAGAATTGATGGGTGGATCATATCACATGCCATTTGTTGGCTGAGGTATGCTATCCGTAGGTCACAGTGACTGGATCTCATCCCACTCGTTCACAGACCTGGGTTGGCTTAAGATAGTATGTGCTGCTAACTACTCTCAGATATTCAGGTATTGGGAGAAGGCTCACAGCCCAAATCAGGGACAATGAAATGGGAGGCACAGTTGAAAAAAGATCCATTTGCATTGATATAAAACAAATAGTCCCCAGCCTATGGTACCACGCAGAGGGGAACCCACTAATTTTAACTCAGAGACTTCTACCGACAGTAAGCAGCAGATAACATCTGGAAACTCGGGGGGTCAAGCTCACTGCAAAGACAAACTGTGCCCAAGTCATTGCCTTGCTCAGGACACGTGTAGGGGAAACAGAGATGAAGAGAGATGAAATGACTTGCCTAAAGTCACATAGTAGTCAGTGGTAGAGCTGGGGTAGGGCCTGGTAGAACCCTGAAATATAGGCCAGTGCCTTATCTACTAGAGTAGCCTCTGTGTCTGTCTGCGTCTGTCTCTCTTGCTGCTCTACTTGGTCACTATGGGGGTTTCTTTTTGTCTCCACTCTCTGCCCCCTTTGTCACTGTCTCTCCTGAATGAACCAGGAGTGTTCAAGGCAAACATGCTCCAGCCATTTGGGAGAGATATTGTGTTGTGGGAAGCAGAAAGCTATGATGTCACTGGGATCCAAATTAGCCAGTCAGACTGTTTCAATTAACTTCAGAGGCCAGCTGGATACTGGCAACAACACAAACAAAATCCCAGTACACATTGGCTGAGATAGCACAGGAAATGCCTTCTAATGACTAAACACAGCCCGCTCCACTGCATGGCCACCTCCAGTCCCACCCAGTCCCAGCTCCCAAGTGACAAGCCTTTTTTGACTCTGCCACACAGAATGCCCCAGACCCTACCGGTGCCGTAATGACAGGAAGAGGCTGAAAAGCAGCTGGAAAGCCCTGCCCCTGGAGAATACTTCTGGTGCATGGGCCTCTTTGCCTTCACAAGAGCTGCTTCTTCAGGGTGTGTGCTGAGGGCAGATCGGGGGTGGAGGGAGTGGCAGAAGCAGTACCAGTGGCATCATGGCACCGGGCCCAGAGTCAGAAGGGGCCCCAGCCAGCCTGATCCCCCAGCCGGCTGAGCCGGCCAGGAAAGCTGCCCCCGGCCCTGCTCCTCCCCCACCCTGCCTCTTCCCACCCTACTCCGCCCCAACCCCGCCCCCACTCCACCCCTTCCCCTGAGCTATGTCCTGGGGGACTGCAGCAGGGGTCGGGCCCACCCTGCACTCACTGCGTGGCGGGAAGTGGAGCGACCCAGCCCCAGACCGCTCTCCTCCGCCAGAGGAGTGCTGGGAGGTGACTCCCCCTGCCCCCCAAGTCCCAAGGCTGGGAGCCAGGGGAGCTCTGCTCCGCCAGCTCATGCTGGGGGGTGGTTCCCCCCCCTGCCCCCCAAGTCTGGGGAGGAGATGGAGCAGTGGGGAAGGGGCATGGGATGCGGAAGACAAGGGGATGGGGAAAGCAGGGGCAGGGCGGAAGCTGGAGCCCAGCATGCGGCATCCCCTGGACAGAAGCTGACAAGCCCTCACCCTGACAAGCCCCACCTCCCCTGCATCTGTACTACCCTGATGAGCCCCCCCAGACACCCTCCCCACTGAGCCCCAACCACCTGCACCTAGACCCCCACCCAAATGAACTCCACCTCCCCTGCACCTAGCCCCCCCCCCCCCCCGGCTGAGCCCCAAACACCTTCACCTGGATCCCCTGAGAGTCCCATAGTCCCTGCACCTGGAACCCCCCAGTTAGCTTCTGTGCATCCAGATCTCCGCACCCAGATTGCCCCACAGAGAACTCTCTTACCCCCACCTGGATCCCCCCACATAAAGTGCCTCTGCTCTTGGATCCTGCTGCTGAGCTGAGCCTGCTCACCCACACATGGTGCGCCTGGCACAGGGGGCAGGGCCCCAAGATATTTTTGGAGCAGGCCTGGCCCTTGCACTGTGTCAGAGTCGAGTGCAGCCTCACTGCCGAGTCCTTGTCCCAGGGTGGGGTGGGGATGAGGCTGCAGGGTAATCTCCCACCTGCATGCAACCAGTGGCCTGTGCTCCCCACTGCCATGTTGGAGCCTCCACATTTATTTATTGACAAATAATATTTGCAGAATTTTAAAATATTGTGTGTGCAGAATTTTTAATTTTTTGGTGCAGAATCCCCTCAGGAATATGGGGTGCTGTGCAGCTGTCATGGTGGGACTGTGAGGAAGGTGGTGGGGAGGTCTATGGACGGGGGGCGCTGGGCGAGCCGTGTGGTATGCAGAGTGCTGTACAGTTGTGGTGGGAGGCCAGCAGGGGAGGTCTCTGGGCGAGGGGGCGCTGGGCATAAGGGTGGGGCACTGGGCAGGGGGGTGGTGTGGTGCGGGCCTGCCCTCAAGGGGAAGAGGCATGCTGGCAGCACAGGGCTGAGCAGGCCTGTGTGCAACTGGCAGCTGCAGGTTCCTAAACAGTGCCCTCCTGCTGGGCTGCACAGAGGGGGGCTGCTCCAGCTGTGCTGTGCCTCATTGCCCCCAGCCCACCCTTCACTCTGGAGACTGACCATCCTGCCCCCCTGCACCTTGCCCCATGGGGGCCCACAAATATGTTTGGCACCGGGCCCACA